CACTTACTCCCCATATAGGATCTCTGTCTTTAATATGTTGTACTATGCAAATTAACAATTAACGGTAAAACTAGTATTCAAACAGTACTTTATATTTTGTGTGTCTGTGTGGGTACACTCTGTTGAAATCTACTTAGTATATACTAAGTTGATCTTCTGTATATAGATAATTAAAAATGAATCTTAATGAAGAATGGGATGGGAGAGGGAGTAGGAGATGGGATGGTTTGTGGGTGGGAGTGTGGTTATGGGGGTAAAAACTGCTATAATCCAAAAGTGGTACTTTCAAAATTTATATTTATTCAATAAAGTTTTCTAAAAAAAAGAAAGCCAGTTTCAAAGAGTTGATTCCAAATATATGACATTCTAGAAAACACATGGTTACATTGACTATGATCATTGATTGTCCAGGGTTGGGAGAATGGAGGGGATGAATAGGCAGAGTATGGAGAAATTTTAGGGCAGGTAAACTAGTCTTTGTGATAATGATTATATGTTTAATACATTTGTCCAAACTCACAACATGTCCAACATCAGGAATAAAGCCTAATATAAACTGTAAACTTTGTAAAATGACGAGTCAATGTAGATTCATTAGTTGTAACAAATGCTGACGATGGGGACCAATGTGCATGTGTCGGGGCAAAGATCATAGGGAAAATCTTTGTACATTATGCACACTTTTGCTGTGAACTTTAAGCTGCTCTAAGAAACAAAATCTGCTTTAAAAATTCATATAGATGGACACACAAATAGAACTGGCATCAGTCAACTGTAAGCATACCAAACAACCGGCATGATCAAATTTATACAGACTAGGCTTGCATTTCTGCTTCCCAGCTGAATTTAAATCCCAAAGATGTCATAGTAGTTGAGATAACAGCATTTTCAGCAAAGGAAATTTTACCCATATGAATGCTGTAATCACAAGTTAAATCTGAAAATATTTGTTCCCAAAAGAGCCAACAGAATTTTACACAGTTAGAGGAATGTATGGGTGTGAATTAGTGAGGTCAATAAATTCACAGTGTCTATAAACTTCTTCACTAGTCCAAAAATCTCTTATTAGTTGCCATTATTCATATGCATATTATGTACTTCCATTAGTTCTGATTTGTTGACCAATATCTTCCCTCCAAGGCAGTATCTACTGCGTGGGTCACATAGTTACTGAGAACTCATTCCAACCCCTAACCCCACCAAGGCTTTATAGCTATGATTTGACTCGAGTTTTTACAAGACACAATATAACAATAGATTTAGATAGATGAACTATTCAACAACTTGCTATTTTTCCTAAGCCAGTAACTACATTCATTTAAATGAGTTCTAACACAGAGACCTCTTACTGCATATTTTGATGCCATAGCAAGTTATTATACTGTAAGTTGCTAGTGCTGCAAGGTGCAATTGGATGGAGACTGGTCTACTTCGTTTAATAGTAATAACTGACACAGTTTGCCATAATTATGGCCACAACATTTGAGATATCTGAAGCTATCCCAGCCCCACCCACTAGCCATGTGGTGCGTCCTGCAATTGTGGGCATTCTGCTAACCAACACACAGAGCTTCTGTTCTCCAAGTCTGAAATCACCATAGTCCAGTGAGGAAACTTCTCTGATCCCACAAGGCCCATTGCCCACCTTCCTCAAAAGGAGTGTTGGTGCACCCACCTCTGTGCGATTAATTCCTGCCACCCTCAGTGAATGAGAGTGGAAATAACTTAGTCTATTGCACAGACGATGCCCATAACTTTCTGTTTGTGGCCAATGACTCAGATTTCTGCTCTTCCTCCAGCAACTAAACTCTCTACTTACTTTCCTAAAAATTGCTCATTCACATCCACCAATACCCCCTCTGCATTATCATTCTTTCTGAGTCTTTTTTTTTCTCCTATTTTAACTGGAACCAAGACCTTTTCTGAAAAGTCTAATTCTCTTCTACCTTTCTGAAAAGCTGTTTTCATTTTCTCACTCTCAAAGTTGGTGGTGTGCCATCCTGGCTCCTAATGCGCTCTTTCTCTTGTGAGAAATTCTATTCCTTTAGAAGTTATTCCATTCACACCATGGCAGAGATTACTAAAAATCCATGCCCTCCTTTGTCTCAAAGATCTCAGGGATTCATCAGAGCTTCATCTCCCAGCCTCTCTTGTGGGAGAATGTGCTTATGTGATTTAGATCTAATGAACACAATGCTAATCAAACAAGCATGCAAGTCTTTTAAGAAATGGATGTGTATCTATGATCTCTTTTCCCACCTGCTAGTTAGGTGCCGATGACAAAGAAATATAGGTGATGCTGAAACACATGATGCACAGTCTGCAACTCTGATTCACTGCTTTGATGGAAGCTAGTTATTTACTGACCAGAAAGATCTACCTTGTGCAAGAAAAAAATAGTAGCAGAAAATAAACTGCTACTGGGTTTGAGCCATTATAATTTTATGGGCTCTATTTTTTGATATAGCTAGCACATCCCTTACCTATATATAATAACCCCCTTCATTTTCATCTACTAGACTCCAGCATAATCCACCTCATTTATTGGAAACTTTGGCATGTAACAAATATTCTGTCTATCCTAACTCGAGCATCATCACGAGTAACAGATATTGACTCAGACAACCTATTCAAAACCATGGAACCCTTGACCTGTAATTTCAAATCATTTCCTCCCCTGCCCCAATAGGCATACTTTGAAGATTTCCACCTGCTTTAACATTCCATCTTCAAAATAATTATCAACCAATGCACCATGTGACTATAATCAGTCATGCTGACTATTAACTGATTGCACTGAGATACTTATCTCTTCCTCACCTTCTTCCACATCTACCTTACATTTCAGGGTGCTTAATTTGATTAATCCCCTGCATTTCATTGCCCTGCTGAGATTCGATCACATCTATCTAGCAAAACTTCAAATCTGACCTACAGGGACTGAGCTGTCTGCCTTTTCTATGATGTAATACCCAGATAATGGAGTGCTAGTGAATAAATTCACACAACAGGGAAGACCTATTTCAACATAAAGATGCAATCATTAATCCCTAACTCTCAAAATTCCCAGCAATACAATGAGCAACTTGATGTCTTCTCTCGCATATGCCAAAGGCATCCCAAACTCACAATTCCACAGCCAATCTAGTAAAATCACCAAAAAATAGATTCTTCTATCATAGTCTTTCTCAGTAAATGGCTTCTTATCTAAATATGCAGACCATAAATCTTGCAATCTTTAACATTAATTCCTCTCTAGTACTTGTGGTGTTAATTACTGTGTTAATATCCATTCCTAATTATCTGTAAATTTCCCCATATAGTCTACCATCATACTGGTCCACGGTAACACCATTTTGTCTTAACTAGTTCTTAAGAAACTTATCATTTTTAATACATTTTAATTACCTGATTATTATCTGTACATTTACCATGCTGTAAGGCACATCGGTCCGTTCCCTGTCCATTTTTACTTACTATTTCATCTCTGACATTTTTGCATAGTTTCTTTATTTGTTTTGTTTTGCTTAGAGAGATTCCATAAACATTTACTGAACGAATGAGTGAATGCAAAAGTGAAAACAAGTACAAGGGTATCTAAAAAGTTCATGGAAAATGAAAGTATAAGATAAATTTGGGGATAAAAGTTGCTGTGTAGCAGGTTTAGCTACTACGTGGGATGGCTGCATTCCATACCAGAGTGCCTCATTCAAGACACTCTGCTTCTGATCCAGCTTCCTGTTAATTGTGCCTGAGAAGACAGAGAATGACAGTCCATGTGCTTGGGTTCCTGCTACTCACATGTGAGACCAGGATTTCCTAGTGCCTGGCTTCAGCTTGGTCTAGCCTCAGCTGTTGCAGGCATTTGGGAATTGAGCAGGTGAGTAGAAGAGATTCTCTCTCTCTCTCTCTCTCTCTCTCTTGAGCAGGTGAGTAGAAGAGATTCTCTCTCTCTCTCTCTCTCTCTCTCTCTCTCTCCTTTTCCCCTCTGTCACTTTGCCTTCCAAGGAAATATATCTTTAAATATAATTAAAGTTTATTCTGGCACAAGAAACATCTATATAAATATTTTTTCATAATATGCATTTCCATGAACTTTTTGAAGACCCCCTGAAAAAATGAATCAGTATTGTTACAATAAACACATTCATATGTGAAGCAGGTGTTCATATTCACATCATAAAAGGGAAAAAATCTGAAGTTCAACCAAAGCCAAGCAAATAGAGCCTAATTAATACAGATGAAATTTCAATCTTGTCAATTTTCCTTAACTCTAATGTCTGAATATTTTTCTGTTCTCGTTCTCCTACTGTGATGCATATTGAACTTACAGAATATTTTCTTCCAATTTAACTTAAACACTCAAAGAATCATGTCTAATTGTTAATAGAATAATCTGTAAGAGTAGAAATGAAGACCCTGGAAGGCATTCTGATCTTTTAAAAAACACATTTTTCACTGCAAATACGTTACAAAAAATATTTAAATTTTGTACATGGAAATGTTTGACAGCCCATAGTCCAAATGAACATCAATATCAAAATGTACCCAAAATGTCAGAATGCCAGAAGAAAAGGATTAGAATGGAGAATAATAAAAATTGATACTTTCATGCATTTTGTTTTTTATCATTTACTGTTTGCCATTTTGTAACCTTGTGTTAAGCAATTTAAATGTGCATCAAAATAGGAACTATTACTATTCCTGTGTTACAGATAAGAAAATTGAGAATTAGAGACAAAATTGTAAGCCAGGAGCCAAATTCAAATTCTGTATGATTCCAGAGGCTGCACTTAACATTAAATTGCCTTTTCCAACAAAAGTTAAGTCTTTCATTTTGAGTTATCAGTAAGGGAATAAAAAGTGGACCAAACATTTTTGCTATTAATAGCACCTGATAATGAGACATGTCAATTACAATCAGATGAGGAGGGGGAGAATTATCTATAGTATAAAACAGCTTTTCCAGGATATTTAAGAAGCAAATAGTTTAGTCTTACCCATGAATTCAATCCCCAAGTGGTCTGCTACGCCAAAGTCAGCATGGAAAGAAGGGAGACAGAAAGAAAGAAATGGTTAGAGGAAAAACATCCATACATGCAAAGCAATGCCGCTAAGGCTGTCCTCCAAGGTGAAGGGTGTGTCTCAAGATTAACCACTCTGCGTATCTGCTTGATAAACACAACATAAAGATGGCCAGTAATAGGAGTGCTAATCAGTACTTCCCCAAAGCCTCTGAACTACAGCTTGAATTTTAAGAAAATTATTTATTTAAAGACCTGGAGAGTGCTCCCATCTGCAGCTGGCTCTCAAATGATTCTGATGGGTGAGGCTGGCCGTGGCCCGAAGCTGGGATCCGAGAACTCAATTCAAGTCTCTCACATGAGTAGTTGCACCCCTGTTACTTACACAGGACACAAAATCTGAGGCACATGTGGAACACAAACCCAGTCCACCTGACCCTTCATCCACCCTGACCAGGTAAGGTTGCTTATGAAGAGTAGAGTGAGGAAAAGCACCAGTCGGCCTCAGAGGCTCATTCCTTTAAATAGTGCCCTCTTTCATTCACTCACTTTTGCACTCATTGCACTACTGAATGATGTTTTCTGTTGTAGCAATATTTGTCTGAAAATGAGATTTTTTTTAAAAAAAGTATTGCTATAATTTTTTTCTTTGTTACCAGGACAAATATCTGAGCTTCCTTTGAGGAGTTCTCCATTTAGCAAATTAGCTTTTCCTTTTAGAAAAAAAGCATTTCACAACCTTGGCTGTTTCCTGTTTGTAAACAGTTCACTATTTTACCATGCTAAAATATATAACACAAAATATGCCATGTTAGCCATTTTTAGCTGTATGACTCAATGGTATTCATTACATTTACAATGTCGTACAAAAGCTGGCGCCGCAGCTCACTAGGCTAATCCTCTGCCTGCGGCACCCGCAAACCGGGTTCTAGTCCCGATCGGGGCGCCGGATTCTGTCCCGGTTGCCCCTCTTCCAGTCCAGCTCTCTGCTGTGGCCAGGGAGTGCAGTGGAGGATGGCCCAAGTGCTTGGGCCCTGCACCCCATGGGAGACCAGGAGAAGCACCTGGCTCCTGCCTTCGGGTCAGTGCGGTGCGCCGGCCGCAGCGTGCAGGCTGCGGCAACCATTGGAGGGTGAACCAACGGCAAAGGAAGACCTTTCTCTCTGTCTCTCTCTCACTGTCCACTCTGCCTGTCAAAAAAAAAAAAAAATGTTGTACAAGAACCACCAATACACGTCTAACACATTTCCATCACCTCAAACATCAACTCAGTATCCCTAAGCCACTTTCTACTACTCCACAGCACTTGGTAACCACTAATCCACTTTGCTTCTATCAAATCAATTTGCCTACAACCAGTTCAATTTAAGTGGTTGTGACTAATAATTTTAATTGAGAAATGTCTACTTATATAAAGAAAGATAATGGCCATGTTTATAATGCACTCCTTTCTTGCATGGTGTTTTTTGACTACTCGTTCTGTTCTGATGGGTTCAGTGATAAATACCCGGCACACTTCATGAAAAGACAGGATTCTTGTTCTCACATAGTTCAAAAACCAGTGGGAGACCACAGAAAGAAAACTCTGGTCATCCTTTGTAATAAGTGCTATAATGGAAAAGCAAAAAATGTGCTTTGGCTAGAGCAGCCAGGGACCTACATGCTTGGGACAGAATGAGGGTGCTTCACAAAAGAATGCGATTTGTGGAAGGTCTGGCAAGCTCATGCTTGTGTTCTAGTGCCAAAAGGAAGTTTTATGACTGTATGCACCGAGGACATTGGAGAGACTAGGGTTACAGTACCAACAAATAAGGATTTGAGAGACATAATCTATCAGGAGGCTATAATGAAAACAGACAAAAAGACTGGGTATTTGCACACAGCCAGAAGAAAAAATGCAAGAAGAAAATCAAGGGGGAAATCTAGCTAGAGATATCAGAGCGGAGATGTCAAACAGTGGGCCCCAGATATTCAATGGCATGACCAGGCAGCGGGAAAGCCATCAGCCTCAGACTGGTGCGAAAAGAACCTTCTGGTGGAGCTGAATGGCCCTGAACCGACTGCCTGCTGTGTGTGTTCTTGGCAGGTGCAGCCAGTGGCCATTTTTCATTCTTGCAGGATCCTGGCTGCTCTCCTCTGCAATTGTGTGACAGAGCATGTGGAGGGTGTGGCTTTTGGGAAATCATAAATTGTGCTAAGAAGTGAGGACCATGTTTGAGAACTTGGAGGCCAATGTGAACACTTTACAAATGCAATGAATTCAAGACCAATATCAGAGACAGAAATCAGAATTTTAAAATTATTCAAATACTAAAAGGTATGAGCAGAAGTCCTGAGGAAAAAGAAATCTATCTTAACATCGCAAAAAAGTTACATGATTAAAGTGGTAATTTTCAGAAATACTCTCCACCCCAGTGACCAATATATTTTGGATTTTAAAGGGAAATTATTAATTAATTTTATAATTGCTTATTCATGGAATCTGCTGCCAACAAACATAAAAACAAACAGATCTTATTTTAAATCTCCTCCCCCAGCATACACATTAGCATTGATTATTAAAATGATATACATGATGATCCCTGTTGCAGACTTGAAGACCCTGACAAGGTTTGGTCCACACAGACGGATCAATGAAAATCATGAAGAGCAAATGAGAGACAAAGAAAAAGCAATTAATTTTGTCAATTGAGTAAGATGCAGAACATAAACCACAATATTCCTCATAACCCTTAAAGGGCTATATCTCAAAGCAAACGGCCTTCCTGGGATATTCAGACCTGCATGAAAATATCAAGAGAAGATGAGAATTCATCAGTTAGTAGTTCGTTTACTCAACCACTCAACAAACTCTGAGCCAACAACTACACGGATATCAGGGTGGACACAGAGGCACACATCATAAGCAAAAGCAGTTTGATTTTTTTCCTATGGCATGGATTAGGATGCATAATTTTCCCTTTTTAACACTTTGACTTTTATATGTAAAACCTGCATTTATTTGGAATGTTCACGTCTTTGTAGTGACCAGCGCTTATTGAGCACATTCTGCGTACCAGAGACTGCTTTCAGTATGATGTCACAGCGCTATGTAAGACTGGTATTGTGCTTGTTTTACAGGGGAGGGGCAGAGGCATGGAGAGGTGAACTTAGCCTAACCCACATTGTCTGAAAGTGGTGGGAACATGACTGAGCCGAGGCCGTCCAACCATGGGCACTCCTGTTACACTCAAGGTCTACATTTGCCCTTCCCATGAAGGGAAAGCTGTTCAGCAGATAATGAGATCTACAGGGAAGAATGATTGAATCCACTTAAGAGACCAAGTGTTTCCAAGCATCTTCAGGCAATGTAGAAGCATCACTTCTTTACCTACCAGCCCCTACTTTATGGAGGAAGTACAGAAGATACCATAAATAGGATGGATATAAAAGAACCCAACAGTTCTCTGTCTCCAAGGAATCAAATTGCAAATCACTAATGCTCCCCCATTGGTTACTAAGGAAATTGCTGCATGACAAAGCTGGCACAGTTAGTTGTACTTATATATAGCAAGAGATACATAAAAAGTTGTCTGAAGATATGCCAGACATGGAACCAAATAATGTTATAATTAGCAACGTACTTAACTAATGCCAGCATCTCTGTGGGCAAAAATGAAACATTCTTAAGATTTTAGGAGCAGATAACTGCCTAGGAAGACAAAGTGAATATTTTATAAAGTCACAAACTCCTGGAGAACTCCTGGCAAATCCAAGCCATGTTTTTCTTCTACCTTTTTTTCTAATTGACAACAATTCTACATATTTAAGGATTTTTGATGTACACATTACTGAAGGGCTAATTCAACTAATTAGCATACGCATTCCCTAATTTTTTTTCCCTGTGCTGGAAACACTTAACGTCTATTGTTAGCAATTTTCAAGTATTCAATGAATTGTTGTTAATAACCATCACCATGTTGTACAACAGACCTCACAAGCAATTTACATACTCTTGTCTACAGGCGACAAAGATGCGCTGCTGGCAGTGACCCCAGGTGAGCAGGCTCAGAAAAAGCAAGCAGAACTCACCCTTGACTTTGACTCCAATCTCAGCATGCAATGGGAAAAGCTGTTATTTATCCTAGGGTGAGGAACTCACTGCAAGGCAGCACAGGGACAATGCAGCAAGAAGACCAGGATTCAATGCCAGTCCTGGGGTAAAGCTACTGAACGAGGCGACTTCGATTCTGTCACAGAGTAGTCCTAGATATGATGATTTAGACATGGAATGAGACGTTCCATGAACACACTGATACAAGTGTGATACAGTGCAACGGGCCGCTTCACTGGGAGAATTGCCACAGGACCTCTTGTGTGTGTGCAGACTCTCCTGGTGGTAAGTCAAGCTTCATGAAAAGAGGCACTTTGTCATGGAGCACTCTGTGGAGCTGTGATCTGCGGGACCCACTCTGCAAAATGCATGCCATGTGTGTGTGGAGCAAACCACACGTCAGTCACGAATGGCTCATCTTAGTAACTGAACATAAATCTGTCACTCTGTAGATTCCACCCACAGGTCCCTGTCAAATGACTTCTTATGGGTGATAATCCAGGAAGAGGCGGTCAGCCTCAGCAGAGGAGACTCAGTTGGATTTATGAAGATGGTAAGCTGGGCATGCAGTATTTGCTAACCCTTAGCACCTTAACTCACTGTAAAGCGATATCATTGTTTCATGCTTAGCATGTTTCACATTTAATAGTGGGTCTGTGTATTTTTCTTACTCCCAGGTGAGATCATGGCCAAGATATGAGATGTTGTATGCTGAGACTGTCATGCTTGTCCCTGTTTATGGCAGCAAGACAGGCAAACTAGGAAACACTGGGATAGACTCTAAGGTTTCTGATTAGGAGGAGAATGAGGACTACAGATGGCTCTGGCTGCAATTGCTTCATTCTGAAAAATCAATACATGGGATCCACTGAAGATACACCTCTAAAATGGTTAAGGAATCAAAGGACGG